AAATAAAGTGCTCTTCCTTTCCCAACATATAATTTGTGTGGTGCTGGTTTCTTTCATATATTCCAACAAAAGAACATATTGTAACAGGTTGAATGCAGGAAAATATGAGAATAGCTCATCCTGCTAAGCAAATGTTAAACAAGGTATAAAATTACCAATGCCGCTCTTCTCACTAATTTTTTGTTTTGGAAAAATTAGTTATTATTTTAAAAATGTATAAATATGGCCGGGCGCGGTGGCTCAAGCCTGTAATCCCAGCACTTTGGAGGCCGAGACGGGTGGATCACGAGGTCAGGAGATCGAGACCATCCTGGCAAAACGGTGAAACCCCGTCTCTACTAAAAAATACAAAAACTAGCCGGGCGCGGTGGCGGGCGCCTGTAGTCTCAGCTACTCGGGAGGCTGAGGCAGGAGAATGGCGAGAACCTGGAGGCGGGAGCTTGTAGTGAGCTGATCCGCCACTGCACTCCAGCCTGGGTGGGCAGGCAAGACTCCGTCTCAAAAAAAAAAAAAAAAAAAAAAAAAAAGTATAAATATAAAAGTTTTACATTTAAATGAATAAAATATTTTAAATATCTTAGGTTTAATTTCTTATATAGTAAACATCAATATATATTATGTATATAAACAAGAACTTTGGGGGTTCTCAGTAATTTTTTTTTTTTTTTTTGGAGACAGTCTTACTCTGTTGCCCAGGCTGGAGTACAGTGGCGCCATCTTGGCCTCTGCCTCCCAGGTACCAGCGATTCTCCTGCCTTAGCCTCCTGAGTAGCTGGGATTACAGGTGCCCACCACTATGCCCAGCCAATTTTTGCATTTTTAGTAGACATGCGGTTTCTCCATTTTGGCCAGGCTGGTCTCGAACTCCTGACCTCAAGTGATCTTCCCGCCTCAGCCTCCCAAAGTGCTGGGATTACAGGTATGAGTCACCGTGCCTGGCCTCAATAATTTTTAAGAGTGAAGGTGTCCTGAGACCAAAACAATTTGAGAATCACTGGTGGAAATTATTCTTTTTTTTTTTTTTTTTTGAGATGGAGTCTCGCTCTGTTACCCAGGTTGGAGTGCAGTGGTGCCATCTCGGCTCACTACAAGCTCTGCCTCCCGGGTTCACGCCATTCTCCTGCCTCAGCCTCCCGAGTAGCTGGGACTGCAGGCACCTGCCACCATGATCGGCTAATTTTTTTTGTATTTTTAGTAGAGACGGGGTTTCACTGCGTTGGCCAGGATGGTCTCGATTTCCTGACCTCGTGATCCACCCGCCGCGGCCTCCCAAAGTGCTGGGATTACAGGTGTGAGCCATCGTGCCTGGCCTTGGTGGAAATTATTCTTGAATTAAAAGGACACTTCTTTAAAAATTCAGTAATTTTGACTTTTCCCTCTCTGAAACTAACCCTCCCTTAATTAACCTGATTTTGTGAGGTTTTGTTGCATTTTTAAAAAATCCAGGGACCACAGTCTAGCCAAATGATTATCAGATCTAGGTATTCATTTTAGTCCATTTTAACACTCAGGATAATAAATTTCAGATAAGTAATACTCTAATATTATTTTTTTTTCCTGAAAAGTTACTATCAAGGATTGTTTAAATAATGCAAATGATCCTTTTAAACTACAGTTATACTCCATTCTGCCCAGAAACCCAAATACTATTGACTCAGTTTGACATTGTGTGTGCAGAATGCCCTCATAGAAGCTGATAAAACACAATTTGGATTTTTACAACAGTGATTTTTAAAGGGGTAAGCATGAGAGGTGGGAGCATGTACCCTCCCTGAGGGGAGCATCAGAATGTGAGGCGATTGTAACTAGAGAAGTTTCTTCTGTTCGCACCAGAGATACTAATGTTTACTGTCCTATTCACCGTCTTCTCTTACAGACTGCCTGCTGTTGTAAGCAACCACTACGGATTTCTCAGAAGTGCTTTGGCAAATAAAAATGATTGAGAATCATTACTCTGTACATTTTCTATTCTACTAGAGAGACAGTTTAAAATAAAATAATAGGTAAGTAAAATCTGAAGAAAATAACAGGAAATAAATAGGATCAGTCAAAGCTTTTAAGGATTTGTGCTTAGACTGAGGTTCTATCAGGTTCTCACCCTCCATTAATTTGAAAGCAAAACCATTATATTTTAGTTGAATGTTTGAGAAAATGAATTATTTGAGAGGCTTGTTTTATTTGGAATTCCATTATTTCTTTTTCTGAATAATATAGTTTTCCAGATTTAAGTGGTAAAAATCAAAGACTTTGTTGTAAATTTTTGTTTTTTTTGAGACAGTCTCACTCTTGTCACCTAGGCTGGAGTGCAGTGGTGTGATCTCGACTCACTGCAACTTCCACCTCCTGGGTTGAAGCAATTCTCCTGCCTCAGTCTCCTGAGTAGCTGGGATTACAGGCATGCACCACCACACCCGGCTAATTTTTATACATTTTTAATAGAGACAGGGTTTCGCTATGTTGGCCAGGCTGGTGTCAAACTCCTGACCTCAGGTGATCTGCCCACCTCGGCCTCGAAAAGTGCTGGGATTACAGGCATGAGCCACTGCACCCGGACGTAAATCATTATAATAATTGTATGGAATTATTATGAATCACAGCTTCCTGTGTCCACACCCCTTTGTAATGTGACATTGCCACTCTTCCCATAAAAAATTGGAGTTTATTTGACCGCCTCTAGAATCTGGGATGGTCTTATGACTTGCTTCGACCAACAGAGTATGATGGAGTGATCTTGTACATTTTGGAGTCTAGGTTTTAGGTCTTTGCTTCTTAGAATGCTAAGACCACCATGCAGGGGAAAAGCTCCATCCACCATAAGAAGATGAGAAGCCACGTGGAGAACTAAGACTTTTCAGCCAATAGCCAGCACCAACTGCCAGACACATGAGTGAGGCCATCTTGAACCCTCCAACCCTAGTGTATTCAGGGTTCTCCAGAGAAACAGAACCAACAGGATGTGTGTGTGCATGTGTATGTTTATAAAGATATTTATTTTAAGGACTTGGCTCACTTGATTATAGAGCTTTCAAGTCCAAAATCTGAGGGGTGGGTTGGCGGGCCAGAGACCAGGGAAAAGGCGATGCTACAGTTCAAGGCTGAGAGCCATCTACTGTCAAAATCCCTTCTTCACGGAAGGTCAGTCTTTTGTTCTATTCAGGCCTTCAGTTGATTGGATACGGCCTACTCACATTATGGAGGGCAATCTGCGATATTCAAAGTCCACTGATCTGTTAATCTCATTGCAACATACCCTAACAGAAACAGTAGAATGTTTGACCACGTATCTGGGCACCATGGCCCAGCCAAATTGAACATCAAGTTAACCATCATACCAGTCAAGCTGTCAGATATAATTGCAGGAGTGATCCCAGGTGAGGCCATGACAACACCAGATTGCTAACCCACCGAATTGCCATTAGTCGTTTTTATTTTCCGCCACTAAGTTTTGAGGTGATTTGTTACACAACAAAAGGTAACTGAAACCGAACTATCTGCGAAAGTGTCTGTGGGTTTAGGCTGGGGGTTGAGTAAGTGGACATTAACTTTTGTGGATGCTATAATCAAGAGGAGGGATATTGTGTATGTTACATGCTGGTACAGTCTCAAACAAAACGTGGCATATGTAAATGTAGGACGAGGCAACGGCACACAAGGCAAACTGGTTTGTGAATCACTTATTTAGCTGATATTTATTGCACACCTCCTATACACCAACCACTATTCTAGGAGCTGGGAAAACAAGACAGACACTGTCCCTGCCTTTGTGTAACTTACGGTTTGAGGGAAAAAGGCAATTAAATATGCAATTTCAAAAAGTTTGACAAGGAAGTACAAGTTGCTGCTGACCACACCAATTTTTGGGATTAGGAAAGCCTATCTAGAAGTGATATTTAATCCTTCATATTTATTTAAATGAAGTGATATTTAATCTTTTAAAATAAATATTATTTAAATAAATATGAAAGAGGAGTGCACAGTTCACAGATCTGCTCAGCCTAATCCTTCATATTTATTTAAATGAAGGATGAGTAGAAATTCAGTCAGGAAGGGGATATAATGATACGAATGATTTTGGGTCAGCAGAGTACAAAAATGTTCTGGACAGAGGAAATATGTGTGAGGGCTCAGAGGTGAGAAAAACCATGGTGTACTAAAGTCACCACAAAGACTTTCTGTAGATCATATGGAGAAGCAGGAGAGATGAAGCTGGAGAGTAAAGCAGCAAATCAGCAATTAAAAAAGATGTTTGGAGTTGTTGAGTTTGGAGATGAAAAGTGACAAGATGAATTCTGGATTTTAGACAAAGCAATCCAACTTGAGAATGGAGAGGGATTTGAGAGGAGAAAAGAAATGAGCTGTTGTCAGTAAGAGTATTTAAATTAGGATACTGGTAACGAGGATGGAGAGACACACGATTATACATGGGAAGTGAGAGCAGAAAGCATGAGGATTATTTCTTGATTTTTTTTTTTTTTTTTTGCTCAGGCAACTGGATAGATGAAGGCATTAATGGAACCAGGAACACTGAAGAAATCGTGAACAATTAAAGTACTTTTGAGTTATCAGAGTGAGATGTCCTGTAGGTAGCTAGGCAGTACTGGCTGGTAATTCAGAAGAGCTGCTGTGTCCTGTGTAAAAGGAAAAGCAATTCCTGGATGGTGGCTAAAGCCAGCTGGCAGGATTTAGGGGATGGGTTAGACCTGCACTAGTTTTCCTGGAGAAGAGGCGGGTATAAAGTGGCAGAGTGAGATTACTGTAAAATACCTGCATTCAAAGGGCTAAAAAAAAGAGAAATGCTGGAACGGCTACTTGCTATAAACGCAGCAGGGCAGGTTAAAACAAATCACGAAGCACGGGCGGCGAGGCTGGGGGGCTAAGGCTAAGCCCTGCGTGTTTTCCAGCGCAGCGACACACAAAAGGAAAAGGGACCCTCCTCACCGGAAGCACAACCTCTGCCCTCTGGGGCATTACACATTCCTCCGCGCCGGAAGAACGCGTCGCGCCGCGCCTCGCCTCGCCCCGTCGGCCTGGCTCTATCCCCACCTCTAGTGAAGGAGAGATTGTGCCCCTCCCCGACCCCCCACCCAGGGCGAGCCGCGTGGAGTCGTTGGACTGGGCAGAACTTTGGCAGGCAAGGAGAGAAACAGCCACACCGGGCTGCCGGGCAAGAGAAGAAGGAGGAAGGGCCAGATACCCGGGCGTCGCGCCGCTGCGGAAGGATTCCGTTTCCTGCGGGGGGCGGAGGGATTTGACAGCACAGTAACTTCCGGAAAAGTCCTGACCCTCGGAGGAAAAGCCTTGCAAGAAACAATAACAAACGGGAGGAGGAAGCGGTTCTGGTGTGTCTGTGTTGAGCGGTTCTTGTCCGCGAAGATGCGCCTCGGCCCCTGTCAGGGGACGTGAACGGGCTCAGTGGGCTTCAGCCAGCTTTTCTCCACCGGTTCCCCACGGGGACCCCCCCCCGGCCGCTGCAATGGCGGGCGTGGGGCCGGGGGGCTACGCGGCCGAGTTCGTGCCGCCCCCGGAGTGCCCCGTCTTTGAGCCGAGCTGGGAGGAGTTCACAGATCCGCTCAGCTTTATCGGCCGCATCCGGCCTTTGGCGGAGAAAACCGGCATCTGCAAAATTCGGCCGCCCAAGGTACCTGAGTCTGTGGAGGGAGACGGGGAGAAGGAAGAATGGGGGAGTCCGTGCACTGGGTTCAGCCTTACTTTTCCGATCCTTCTCTCCTTTCGGATGTACTCTCCTTTATGTTGAGACAACCGGAGCCTGTTTCTGGATGTTTCTGCTTCGGTTTCTTTTGTGGTCTTATGTAGACACGTCTGAACGCCAGAAAGTGGTGTCTCTGGGGTCTCTTCCGCCAGGAACTTGGGAACTGATACTTTTCTCTCAGCTGTGGGCCTGAAGCCTTTCGTTAGCCAATATGGGGTTTAGTTAAAGTACAGTATTATGACGTGACATTCTTCCCTCACGTATCCTCATTATGGTTTGATAGTCGGCTGGCTCTTTATTCAAGACCTGATTGGATCAAATGTTTGCAGGCCTCCTCTCAGGGCTAGGGTTTCTGAAAAGGTAATCTGAGCTCTAGTTCCACCAGATGGTATTATAGACATAGAACTCCAGACTAATCATTGCTGCAGTGAGAAAGTCTTACCGGGGAAAGAGGAGCAGCAATAATTCTAAAATTGAGAGGTTTAGGAAGAATTCATCTATAACGGAGGCGGAAGGAAATGTTGAAATCGCTTGACATAGGGAACTCAAGATCAACGATTTTAGAATTACAGTTATTGCAGATAACTAGGTTTGCCTATAAGGTTAATTATAAGCTCAACGTTGAGGTAAGGAAAGTGGATACTATCCCTTGTGTGGAGGGGATTAATGCCCCAAGAGGTTGAGTGAGATGCTCAAGGTCAAAAGGTGTTTTTCTTTACTCATTAGACCAGTGCTTTTTAAATGATGTTGCTGGACCACTTGCACCTGGGTCAACTGGATGCTTATTTAAATGCAGATCTCTAGGCTTCTTGTGGAAGTTCTGGAATCTGCTTTTCTAGCAACTAGTCTCAGATGATTCTTCATGTAAGTTGAGGTTTTCGAACCATTGCTTTAGTCATTGCTTCTTAAAGGCATTTTGCTTTATGTTTTGTCTAGTATTAGTAATGATAAAATATTAAGCACTGTTAACCAGTGTTGCATTTTAAAACGCATCTGCCGTCACCACTGACTACCACAGTGATGGGCACCGCAGCGAATTAAAAACTTAAATGACAGCGGGGAGGAGCTAATTTAACACCTATAGATTGTTTGCTTTAATCTTTGAAGCCCTGATAGGTAAATGAAGTCCACCTTTTACAAATAAGACTAATCTGGATAAGTTAAAACACCAGATGGGTTATCTCGGGCAAGTGGCAAAGTATATTTTGAACCTAGATCGGTTTTTTGATTCTGAAACAGACATAATGCTCTATGTTGAATGAGTTTGAGGTTATAGACTATTCGTTGCAAGCAGAGGATTAACAAATAATTGCTGTGATGATATGCATTGCCATCCTCCAAAAACTTCCATTTAACCCTTTTTTTTATCATAATTACCTAATATTAACAAATCTTAAGCATTGAAAGTTTTAAGTCGTATTTTCATCTACTGTTGAATTTATTAATTAGAAATTCTATTCACAGTTACTTCGATTAAAAAAAGTTTTTTTTTACTTAAAAAATGTTGAAATAATGCTTTCTCTTTTTATGTCACATTATTGAAGATAAATCTTGTTTACAATCAGAATTTAATTTTAGTATTGGCAAATTTCTTTAGTTTCCAGGCTGGAGTGCAGTGGCACGATCTTGGCTCACTTCTGCCTCCACCTCCTGGGTTTTTTTTTTTTTTTTTGACTAGTCACGTTTTAAAATAGATTTACTGTTATTCTGTTATTTAGGCCAAATCAAACTATGTTATTTAGACCCCACTTGAAATATGCTATCTGATTTTAGTTATATCACAGTCTGGAAACTGTCCTTGTTCTGTGTGTGTGCTTACTTTTTTTTGTTGTTGAATATTTGGGTTCCCAGAAGCTGGGCTTTGAACAAAACTTTTGTGTAACATAAAGTGCTCTGTCGCGTTACACATACAGTACAAAAGAAAAAGTTTAAAAAGTTTATTTTTAATCTTTAATTTTAGCCTTTTTGGTTTTTTAAATTTTTTGGTGTTTTTTTTTTTGATCTTGGTAAACCTGAATGTTTACTAGACACCGTTTTGTGGTACATGACCTCATTGAATTCCACTTGAGTAACTTGGGAAAGCATAATTGTGGGAGGTAAACAGTGGGACTGGTTTGAAGAGGATTGCTTCTCTGAGTAATATAGGTTGAGCATCCATCCCTACTTTAAAAATTCCAAATCCGAAATCCTCCCAAATCTGAAACCAAGTTATCCTGGAACATTATTATTCTTTTTCTTTTATAGAGACAGGGTCTCGCTTTGTTGCCTGGGCTGGTCTCATGCTCCTGGGCTCAAGCGATCCTCCTGCCTCAGTCTCCCAATGTGCTGGGATTACAGGTATGAGCTACTGCACCCAGCTTGAATAGATTATTTTTTTCATTGTATTAATGGTATGTTATATTTTTTCTGTTAACTACTTAAGTGGAAATAAGTGTAAGGAAATGATTGTTTATTGGTACCATGTAAGAATTCACAGTCAGAAATGATGGTGATGCCAGACAACCACAGATTGTCCACACTGGTGGCTGAGCTAGTGACACCTTTCTTTTCTGATGGTCCAGTGTACACAAGCGTTATGCACCAAATTATTAAAAATATTGCATAAAATTACCATTAGGCTATGTGTATAACTATATGAAACAAAATAATTTTGTATTTAGACTTGGTTTCTCTCTCCAAGATACCTCCTTATGTATATGCAGATATTCCAAAATATGGAAAAATCTGAAATCCAAAACACTTCTGGTCCCAGGCATTTCAGATGAGGGATACTCAACCTGTATTAAAATTATTTTATCTAAAAGAATTGCTCATTCTGTCTCTATAATAAAGAAGTCTTATAAGTAGTCTATTAGCACTGTGATTATGGCAAAACCCCCCTTTAAGGGAATAAATAATGCATTCCTTGCTTAAATACCACTGTGTTTTTTTTAAAAAAACTTTCTATTTAGGACTGGCAGCCTCCATTCGCCTGTGAAGTAAAAAGCTTTCGTTTCACTCCAAGAGTCCAGCGCCTGAATGAACTTGAGGTAAGTGTTTTGTCACCGTTTCTGCCTCCTGATTCATTCTTTGTGTTCGGGCTGTAGGTAGAGAACTTTGAGAAGCTCATGGACCACAGCCTGGAGTTTGTGTTAATTGGTATTGAATAGTTACTTGATGTTTGGAGGAAGAGTGTGATTTTTAAAAAAATTGTGCAAAGTAGTTATGGTTTCTCCGTTTAACTGAGATCATGAGAAACTGTCTCTAGCCCTATTGTTTTAGTGGAAATGTTCAATGCTTAGCTTCAATGCTTAGAATTCTTAAATTCTACTTTCTCTAGTGTTTCTTACTCTACTAAAAGTTTTGTTAATCTCCGAAGATTTCTGTCTCCCTTCGTTCTTGGAAAATGGATTTTTAAATTCTGTTTTAAAACCCTAGTTTTCAAAGTTAGTTTTGTTTTGTTTTGGTTTTGGTTTTAATGGAACTTTGCCAGGAGTGTTAATCTGATTTATTAAGATCTGCCTTTAAGCGTTACTAATGTATCTTAAATTATCTAAATGGAAGTCTATTTATGTATTGCTGTTTTTCCTGTCTGCGGATTTTCAGAAGGTTTTTCATTGTGATATGAAAACTTTTAGAGTACAGAAGGAAAATTATTGATAGTGAAGGTTTATTATGTCATTCTGAAGTGTTCCCCCCCCCCAATATTTCTGAGAGTTTAATACATACTGTTCTTTT